TGGCAGCACTGGGGTGCTGGCGTCAGGCAGGGCACCTCGCTGCTCAGGGCGCAGCACCCGCTGCTCAGCCGGCTCTCCGGCTTTGGGGGGCGCTGCCCCTCCAAGTTCGGTGTGGACGCCTTCTCTGACAGCCTCAGGTTCAGCACAGCCCGGCCTTTGTCCTTCTTGGGGTTTGGCGGCCGTGGAGCAGCGCTGTTTTGCCTCTGCCCTGCTTTCACCATTCCTCCCCGGCCACTCCTGTCCCAACAGAAGGGAAAGGCAAGGAGAGGTGGGGAGGGATTGTGAAAGGTGTCTGTTTGGGTTGTGAATTAGGTGGGTGGGAGCCAGCGGTTGTGCAAAGATGGAAAGGGTTGGAGCAGCACCTTCTCTGCGGTGGCAGTGCTGGGTCCCGTCCTGGGGCAATGACATCGATGTCCTCATCCCCATCCAGGCGTGAGATGCGACCCTTTGGGGTGAAGGTCTCTATCATTGAACCCGGTGGATTCCGAACGGGGATGACTGACCCCAAAGCGGCAGCAAAGGAACTGCATCGCCTGTGGGCGCAGCTCCCGGCAGAGACCCGGGCATCCTACGGCCGCCGCTACCTGGAGACCTGTTAGTGCCTCCCCCCACCTCCTCACAGCACTGCAGCCACCCCGCGGATCCCTCCGCCCCCCTGACCCCCCCCCCCCCCCCCCTACAGACGCCCGTCGCAGCGCCCTCCTGCACCGCCTCAGCAGCCCCCGCCTGTCCCGCGTCACCGCCCGCGTGCAACACGCGCTGCTGTCCCGCAGTCCCCGCAGCCGTTACGCCGCCGGCTGGGACGCGCTGCTCTTCCTGCTGCCTCTCAGCTACTGCCCGACGTGGCTCTGCGATGCCTTCGTCGCCTTCCTGATGCCAAAACCGGACTGCGGGACACCCTGAGCGCATCCCTGTGCCCGCTCCATGCTGCACGCGGGGCTCCTGCGGGTGCAGGACCTCATTAAAAGCGTTTTTCCCTTCTACAGCAGCAGCCCTCGTGCCCTCTGAGCTCACAGCTCGGCCCGCACTGGGGCTACGGGCAGAGGGGCACAAAGCCCCGCTGCGTTGCTCCAGCCGTGCCAGAGCCCCTCCAGCAGCTCACTCCTAACGCAGCATCATCCTTCCCGCCCCCAGTTTGCCATCCTCGGGAGTTGGGTGCTTTTTGCCCAGCTCCTACCTCCCGCAGCTGCAGGGGGCTGCAATCAGGTCCATCCTCTGCTGCACCTTCAGCGCAGGAGAGGAAAGCCCCCTCCCCAGGATCCCTCTCTTCCCAGCTGGGCTGCACAGCTCCATTTGTCCCTCTTCTGCGCCCTCGGAGTCCGCTGGCAGCGATGGGTGCTGCTGTGGTTCGGCACATCAGATGTGTGGGCGGTGACTCATGCATCCTTCATACCTCTAATTAAGGGATAATTAGCGATGACGATTTGGAGATGGGCCCCCGAGGCCGTGCTATTGCTTGCAGGACTGAGGAGCGACCCACGCCGCCCACCCGCGTCCCTTCTTCCGCTGACACGTGCGGGGGCTGAGCTCGTGCGGGACCGGGGTGATGCGGGGCGATGCGGAGTGCGGGGTGCGGGGTGCGAGGAGCCCTCGTGCGAAGCAGAGAGTTCCTGTAGGTTTGATGGGTGCAGCATCCCAGCAGCCGGCACGGCATCGTTCTCCCTGCGTGTCCCTGGGGTGGGCTGCAGAGTGCGGGAGGGGGGCTGCGTGGGGAGGGCATTGGACTCGGAGCAGCGCTGCCAACAGCAAAAGCCGGGGGAATGGTGGATGCGGATTCAGCTCCTTGGGGTAGAAGCTCCCGTGGGGTTTTGCCTCTCTGCCTCCAACCCCCCCCCTCCCCAACGCTGAGCTCCCTGGGGCCCCTCCACCCCAACCCGGGGCCTCTGAGCACGGCCCTTCCGGAGAGGAAGGGGCCCCTTATCCCATCAATCTCCAAACAAATGGGGCCCTGGGGAAAAGGGGGGGGATGGGGCGGGGGGGCTCAGCGCGCTGGGGCGATGCGTTCGTTGCGGTGCCCCCTGAGCACCCAATTCTGTGCCAATTCTGTGAAGAGCAGAGCTCAGAGGAGTTCGGCGGAGCCACCCCCCCTCCAGGTCCCAGGTGGGGTCACCCACACCGCGCAGCCCTTCTGCTGTGCCACCACCAACGGAGCTCCGCGCTGCTCCTTCCCTGAGCCCCCGAGAAGCAAAACGCCAACGCCGGGAGCTTCCAGCACGCAGCGCATCCGCCCCAGCCGGACCGCGTGCACCGCTTTCAGGAGGACGATGCCAACCCGTGGCGTCCTCGGCGTGGGGCAAAGCAGCGCCCGTTCCTGCTCGCAAACAGCGAATCCCGTGGGCCGGTACCTGTTTGCTCTTTGGCCGCCCGCCCGTTGTTGAGACAGCGCCCACTTATCAGTGCACGCGCTTCCCTGTTCCCTCCGTGCCTTCCTTCCGAGCGATTGTTGGTCGCGATGCCTTGTCTGCACTTGTAAAGGAGATTTCCTGCAATTGTTCTGCAGGACTTGCAGCCCGAGGCAAAAACGTTCTGCCTATCAGCCCCCTCCCCAACGCGGGGCAAGGCTGAGCCCCCTCGCTTCCCCTGCGCGCTGCCCCGCTGTTGTCCGCTGATTAATTGCTGCCGGGCACAGGAGCTGCTGTGGGGATGGACGTGCGCTGCATTCCGACCGCTGAGACAGCACCAGGGGGTTGCGATGCCCCGACCCCTCAGCGCCGTGCTGTGCCACGCTGCACCGTGCCGATGCCGCTCTGTGCCACGCTGTGCCGTGCTGAACTGCGCCGTGCCGTGCCGAGCCGCGCAGCACCGCACTGTGCTGCTTTTGTCATCTTTCCGCAACAAAGAACCCGAGGGTCCCCGCGCATGGCCGCAGGGACGGGCACAGCGCGTTCCTCAGCCCACCCCAACCCACGGACTCACAGCTTCGGGGATCCTTTCCCCCCACCCGCACCCGGCCACGCTCCGCCCGCGGCTCCGTGCCCCACATCCCTCATGGGGCGGGGATGGATGCGCTGCGGACCCTCCTGCACTGAGGGCAGCACCTGTCCTTGTCCCCCCCCCCTTGCCTTAACGCACCGCCCTCGGGCACACACCGCGTCCCGGGGCCGCCTCAGGATACGGGGCTGCCGCGCTCATTTCCTGCGGGGTGGGAGCCCGGAGCGCAGCCCCGCAAGCCCAGAGCAGCTCCCGCAGCCACGCCGCGAGGATCGCATCGCGCACCCCCGGTGAGCCGCGTCCGCGCACCCCGAGATCCCACCGCCACTGCGGGCGGAGAGCGCAGCGCAGCCCCGGGGCTTTGGGCACAGCTGCGGGGGGCTGCGGTGCTGTGCGGTGCTGTGCGTTGCGGCCGTTCCGTCGGCAGCCCCGGGGTCGGGTCCCCCGTGAGCGCGGGGCTGGGGCCGTGCTGGGATCCGCTCTGGGATCCGCTGAGGGTCTTTTAAAGGGATGATGTGGGAATTGGCACGGTGGAAGAAAATCCCGTAGGATTAAAAAGGGCCTCAGAAGCTCAGAGAGCTGAGCTGTGCCAGCAGAGACCCGCCGGTTTTCACCTGTTTCCCAGCTGTGCTGCTCAGATTTTCTGCTCGATTCATTTTGATCTTTTCCCGTTGCAAATGAAGGCTGCACCCCGCAGCCTCTCCGCTCATAAATAAGAACTGCTGCTTCTGGAGGGGTCTGAGGGGTCTCGGTGACATCCCTCAGGGCAAAAAGGCAGAGGGATGTAAACCAGAACCCGGTGAGCAGCTCGACGCCCCCAGCTGGATCTGCGTCCCACGCCCCGGCGCTGCAATTGGCCATCATTAGGGTTAGGCAGAAAGCCGCAGGGAGGTGTGACCTGTGGGGGTCTCCAAGGCTTATCAGCCGGGGGGGCTCCCAGCACCGCGGTTCATCGCTTTCCATTTCCCTGCAGCTCCCAGCATGGCCGAGGCGACGGCAGCCCCCAGCGAGACGCCCACCGCCCCCAGCGAGTACGGCGAGTACCACAACCTGTCGGAGCTGCTCCACCTCCTCAACTACAGCTACAGCGCCTGCGAGTTCAGCCTGGATGAGAACGCCAAGCGCGTGGCCGTGTTCGTGCTCTACCTCGCCATCTTCGTGGTGGGGCTGGTGGAAAACCTGCTGGTGGTCTGGGTGAACTGGCAGACACGCGGCGGCCGGAGCCTGGTGAGCCTCTACGTGCTGCACATGGCCATCGCCGACCTGGGCGTGCTGCTCTCGCTGCCCGTCTGGATGCTGGAGGTGATGCTGGACTACACCTGGCTCTGGGGCAGCTTCCTCTGCCGCTTCACGCATTACTTCTACTTTGCCAACATGTACGCCAGCATCTTCCTCCTCACCTGCCTGAGCGTGGACCGCTACGTCTCGCTGCGCGGCTCCTCGCCCTTCTGGCACCGGCACCAGCACCGCGTGCGCCGCGTCGTCTGCGCCTGCGTCTGGGTCCTGGCAGCCGCCATCCCCTTCGTGGAGGTGTCCCACATGCAGCTGGTGAACACCGGGGACCCCATCTGCATCTTCATGGCTCCCTTTGAGACCTACGATGAGTGGGCGCTGGCGGTCAGCCTGGCCACCACCGCCGTGGGGTTCCTCATCCCCTTCCCCATCATCGCAGTGTTCAATGTGCTGACGGCGCGGCTGGTCCGGCGCTCCAAGCCGGAGGGGGGGAGGCACTGCCTGCTCATCTACACCTACATCGCGGCGTTCCTGCTCAGCTGGCTGCCTTTCCACGTCCTGCTCACGCTGCTCACCCTCGACGGCACCCACATCGTCCTGCACTGCTCCTTCGCCCACTTCCTCTACTTCTTCTACGACATCATCGACTGCCTCACGCTGCTGCACTGCGTCCTCAACCCCGTCCTCTACAACTTCCTCAGCAAGAGCTTCCGCAGCAAACTCATCTCGGCCGTGGTCAGGTACGTTCCCAAGGATGCGTCCGGGCAGAAGGGCGCAGAGGGCTCCTCCTCCTCCACGCAGCACTCCGTCATCATCGCCAAGGATGGCGCTGCACCCAGCTAAAGGCAGCGGGGTGCCCACCTGAGGTTGGCGCGGGGCCGGGCAGCTCCCCATGGCAGGCTCCCAGTGGCGTTCTGCTTTCTGGCCAGCCGCCCGTCGCGCTCTGCAGGTGAGGGCAATGTGCCCAACGGGAGTCGTGGCCGTGTCGCCTCTGAGCACTATCAGACCCATTTAGCCAAAGTAAGAACAAGAGACAGAGAGATGTTCCGCTTTCCTAGAGACATGCTTGTAGCGATGGACGCGACGCTCGGTGCGCCCTGACCCCATGCAGCCCCACGCACTCTGCAGCCCTCAGCTCACACCTGAACCCCACTGAGGGGTGAGCGCTGCCCTCTCACTCCGATGCCATTTGATCAGGATGGGGCAAAATCCGCTGCTTTAACACAGCTCCCGCTGCAGCACCAGCGCAGGGCCTGGCACGGCTCAAATGTAGGCGCTGCGGTGCAGGGCACTGACACAGCACAGCGTCGGGCTGCTGCAGGGAGGAACGGCTCAGCACGGCTTTACAGCGCAACATCTCAGACCCAGAGCGGCCGTCTTCATCCTTAAGTCATCTCTGGGGTGAGAGCTGGGGGTCCCATCTGCATTCAGCAGCACGGGACCCCACGGGCAAGAAGTCGGAGCATCCAAAGTCTCTCCTGGCTGCAATTCTGCTCAGTCACACTGTGCGTGGGTTGGGCCCTGGGCAGGGGAAGGTGAAAGTGCCACCGGAGGGAATTCATCCATCTGAAGGCCTTGAGCTGCCTAAGAAAGTGAAGCATAAGCAAATCGGACCGGATCCAGGGACAGGATGCTCACCGCCCCGTGGAGCACAGGGCAGGATGTGCCGGGGAGACCCGGCACCGGGGCTGCACCGAACCCCTGGCACAGAGCAGCAGGAGCAGCTCCCCACCCAGCCCCTCTGCTGCACCCACTGCTCTCCCATTGCAGCCCAGGGCTGGGGCAATTCCTGCGTCCCCCAGCTCATTTTCATTGCAGGAACGAAGTTGAGCACGCAACAGCAAAGCCAGCAGGCGCGTGACACAGCCACGCAGCAGCGTATTCCAACTCCACACGCATGCGTGTTGCTACATTTCACTGATTCAGCCCACTGTGGGGAAATCCAACACACCTGTGCCCCCCCAGAGCCACCCCCTGTGCTGAGCTGCCCCCCGGCTCCCACTCCTGTCTCACAAATAATCTTTTTAATAAAGAAATGCAGCACGAGAGGTCAACGTTTTCCGCTTTTATTATTCTAAATAAAAAACCACACTTTGTGCTGAACAATGGAGTATAAAAGAACCTGATGTACAACGATTTTAGACATCTACGATCTGGAGGGGGGCGGGGGGGGAGGAAGTTTACAAAATATACAAAACTTTACAGCAAATAGATAGTAAACACTTAAATATCAGGAGGTCAGTACCTACGATTAACTTAACGAGGAGGTTAGACAGCAACGCGTTCCGCTCTTCTTTCTGCTTTGTTCCTTGACGGGGGTCCTTCGGGGTGCGCTGCGGGGGGGTGGCACATGGGGCTGCCCTCCCCAGAACCAGTGCCACTGGGGGAGCAGAGCAGAGCAGAGCAGAGCAGAGCTCACTCCCATCGCGTTTCCACATGGAACAATTCACAGGGAAGGATTCAACACAGAGACAGTGGGGGTGAGAGTGCTCCGCAGCCCCCCCTTCCCCACAGCAGCCAGCAGGGAGGGCTCTGTCCCCACGCTCAGTGGTGGGGTGGGGGCTGGGGTTGCTCTGCCCCATAGCATTTCAGTGTAAAACTTCTCTTTTTGGTTTATGTGCACAAAAGGCTTTTGCTTCACAGCTTGGCCGGACGCGGGGCGCCCGCAGCTCCGGGGGGGCCTCGAGGCTTTGGGGATGGGCGGTCCCCCCCAAAATCCATCCCAGCAGTCGGGGAGTCCTGCAGGGAGCAGCACCGCGTGCATCACCACCGGCTCCTTCCGCAGCACCGGGACGGGACTGGAGGATCTACTGTCAGCAGGACGGCCACAATGGGAGCAAAGCGACGGAGTGGTGGGATGGGGGGACGGGGACGCATCCCCTCCACGCTCTGGTAACGGCGCGGCGCGAGCCGGTGCTCTTCAGCACGCTCCAGGGAGGTAGGTCGGCACCACGAGGGTCACCACCCTCATTTTACAGATGAGGAAACTGAGGCAAAGAGGTGAAGTGACTTGCCCAAGGTCACAGCAGAGCGGGGGGGAGCACCCCCGAGTTCCCAGCTCGCGGCGCCGGGCCGCTCGGTCCGCTCCGTTATCAGTGTTCTCTGTGCAGAAGCGCGACCCGCGGCGGCCCGAAGGCGCTTCCTGTTTGTGAGGTAGTAGAGTTACTGCAGGGCGGCCCCGATTCGCGCTGCGGTGTCTGGGACATTTGTTCCTCTTCGTCTCTGCCCCACAGCGGGATATGCGGGAATGGGGCGGCCCCGTCCTTCCCGGTGTAAACACAGCTGGCGACGCAGCGCTGCGACCCCCGAGCTGCGCCCAAAGCCGCGCCGTGCCTGGAACCGTCAGTCCTTCCTTCCTTCCTTTCTGCTTCCCTTCTCCTTCCCGCCCGGCGCTGCCCCGCTCCAGCTCTGCCCCTCTCTGCTGAGGTCAGAAAGTCGTAGCAGCATCGGTTTGTGGGTCAGCTCTGACTGTGGGTCGGCCGAGTCAGTGGGCGAAGAGGTTTCAGAACAAAATCTAGATTCAGAACCTAGTGAGAAACGCTAAGAACACAAAACTCGGTGGCCTCTAATGGGATCAGAGGTAAGTAAACACGACAGACTTCTCGGGAACGGTGACGTAGCTCACGTGCTGTTGGTTCGTACAGTCTAAAAAGCCTAGCAAGGCCAAGAAATAAAAAAGAAGGAAAAAGAAAAAGAAAAAGGAGGAATCCATCCACGACGCCTGACCGTTAAATAAAACCAATGACGCTTTTCTGCAGCGCCTCCCGGCCCTGCCCTGCCTCACCCCATCAGCTGTCTGCGTTCTTCTCCGCGTCTTTGGAATGGATAATGTACATGAAAGTCTGCTCGATGGTGAAGTCGGGGGGCAGGCTGCCCTTGTGCACCCCGATGTGCTTGCTCATCAGGTTGAGCGTGGAGCTGTAGTGGCCGCAGACGGTGCAGCGGTACATCAGGGCCCCCGAGTGCGTCCGCAGGTGGCACTTGATGGTGGAGCGGCCGCGGAAGAACTTGTGGCAGACCTTGCACTGGTACGGCTTCTCCCCAGTGTGGATGCGCCGGTGGTAGTTGAACTCACTGGTGTGGGCGAAGCGCTTCCCACACACCTTGCAGCTGTACTTGCTGTTGCCCGGCTGGCTCTGCAGCGCCAGCTCCTCGCTCAGGAACTCCTCGGGCAGCTTCCTCTTCTGCAAGCTCTGCGGCTGCAGCCGCTCGCCGAAGCCGGGACGGGCATCCACAGCGCTGCCGCACTTGTGCTGGCTGACGTGGTAGCGATACGCCGCCTCCAGCTTGAAGCTCTGCCCGCAGAAGTGGCAGCGGAACAGGGCCTCCTCGGCGCTCTGGTGCACGGCCAGGTGCTTCTCCAGCAGCTGCCGGTCCACGAAGCTGCTGGCGCACACGGCGCAGGAGAACACGGCGATGCCCAGGTGTGCCAGCGCGTGCCACAGCAGGCTGCACAGGCTCAGATGCCGCTGGTCGCACACGCCGCACGTCTGGCTCTTCAGGTTGACGTGGTCCAGGAGGTGGTTGCGGACGGTCTGGAAATCTTTGGCCAAAGGTTTCCCGCACGCGGCGCACGCCAGATCTGCGCCCGACCCCGCGGCGAAGGCGCCCGCCTTGCCAGGCAGAGGGTCGCTGGGATGCACGACCACGTTGTTGTCGAAGACGCCGTCCCTGCGGTGCAGGGTGAGCTGCCACTGCGTGAAGAACTTGGTCTCACACATGTCGCAGGAGAAGAGGAAGATGCCGATGTGGGACAGCACGTGGGTCACCCTGGAGTTGCGGTCCTGGAAGTGGGTCTCGCACACCTTGCAGTTCCCGGTGAGCAGGTCCACGTGGTCGCGGGCGTGCTGCCGGATCAGCTGGATGTTGGGCTCCAGCACCTTCTTGCAGACCTGGCAGGGCATGGCTCTGCTGTCGCGCCCGTCGCTCTCGAAGGCCAGCTCCTCCTCGCTGTCATCGCTCAGTTCGATCACCTCTTCCGACGGCCCCAGCTCCTCGCTGGCATCCTCGAAATGCAGCTCGTCCTCGCCCAGCTCCTCCAGCTGCAGCTCGTCCATCGGCACGAAGCCCGGCTCCTTGCAGTGCTCGCTGTTGCTGGGACACGAGTTGCTCCCCGTGGAGATGTCCAGGGATGAATCAGCCGTGAAGAACCCACCTTTGCCGTAGTCACCGTTGCTCTGCACCTTGTACTGCTGGCAGGAGCCTGCGGAGCTCTGCATGACGCTCCCAGCACCCAGCCCGGGCTGCACTGCTGCGACAGCACCAGGACCGAACGGCCCCGGCTCTGCGTCCTTGGGGGGCAGCGGGGGCTGCAGCAGGGGCACAGCCTGGCCGCCGTCGCTCCTCTCCTCCTCCTTGTAGTTGCCCGCTCCCTCCCCATGCAGCACGTAACCCCGCTCCGCACCAAAGTGCTCCGCACTCCCCCGGGCGTCCCCCAGCGCCAGGCTCTGCTCCGAGGCACAGCCCACAGCACCTGGCCGGGCGTCCCCTGAGGCCAGGGGGGGCTGCTTGGGGATGGCCGCGCTCTCCAGGTCGGGGAAGGTGGAGTGGCAGGCACGCAGCAGGTCCTCCATGCCCAGCCGCTCCGCCACCTCGTAGATAACACCCACATTGATGAGATCGGTGAAGAGCTCCGAGGTGTACACGAAGCTGAGGATCTTCTCAAAGTTGGCCGGCGTGATGAAGTCCACCACGTAGGTGCGCGCGGCGTCCAGCCCTGTGTTCAGGAAGAGGTTCTGGAAGTATCCAGCAGCGCAGGCCAGCACGGCTTTGTGCGCGGCGAAGGAGCGCGAGCCCACCAGGATGGTGACGTCGCACATGGTCTCGGAGAGGCGGCACTTGTTGAGCTCCTTCAGCAGGTTGTTGGGGTGGTTGGTGCTGTGCAGTTTGATCCTCATGCCCATCTTAGCAGCTGGGGGGGGCCTCTCCTGCTCAGCTGCTCCTTCACGCCCTCATCAGCTGCGGGGGCAGCAGGTGCTGCCCGGCATCCAGCAAGTGGCAGGGCAAGGGGCTCTGGGGGGGAACATGAAGAAAAGTTAAAACCTCAGCGAGGAGACATCACTCCAACGCTCCACCCGTGGGACAGCCACAGGCACAGCTCTCAGACGGAGCTGGGCAGAGCAAGGAGGAACAGCGTTGCCCCACAGATGCCCTCACCGCTCATCTTGGGGCCAAGGTTGTTTCTGCAGCCACCCCAGGAGCGCTCCTGTCTGCATCAGGACCCATCCATGCCCCCCCCCGCAGCCCCCATCACCTCTGCCTGGGCACGATCTGGCTCCGACTCCCAGCACAGCCTGGGGGGCTGCACAGCACAGTGCTGAGGCACAGCCTGCAGCCCCACTGCTTCCAGCCCCACTCCCCCTCCCAGCTCCCTATCGTCCCCCCCAGGCCCCCGCAGCCCCCCCGCTTTGAAGGGCTCAATGGAAGCCACCCAACCGCCTCCCAAACTCCGTCCCGCAGTGAAAGTTGCTCTCAGCTCGCTCCGCGGAGGCTCCTTCCGACGAAACGTGCCCGGGGCCGCCGGTCTTGAGGGGGGAGCGCGGGCCGTGGGATGCTCTTGGGGGCGGCCCCAACCACCCCACCCCCCACCCTCGGTCTGCGTCCCCCTCTCCTCCCGCGGGTCTCGTAGCGAGGTCCGCATCTCGCGGTCAGGAAATGTACCTCCCCCCACCCCCCCCCCCCCAACAAACCGGGGCCCTGCCGGGGGGGGGTGGCCGCCCCCAACGCGCCCCGACGGCCCCGGGACGTGAGAACGGCCGCGCCGCCGCGATCCTCGCGGGGTCGGGGCCGGGGGGGACCCTTGGGGGCGCCGCCGTCGGTCCCGTCCCGCTGCGGCCGCTCCTTACCCGCCCGGCGCCCCGCACCATCCCCGCTCGCTCACACAAAGGCACCGCCCCGCCCTCCGCCCTCCGCCCGCCGCTCCGAGCGCCCGCCGCCACCGGAGCCGCCTTCCGCCGCCCGCCCGCTCCGACGGGGCCACAGCGCCGCAGCGGCCCGGAGGGGAACTGCGGGGGGGAACGCGGGGCGGTCCGGGTCGCGATACGGGGAGGGTCACGATAAGCGGCGCGCTCCTCCCCTTCTCACCCCCTCCGCCTCCCACCCCGGCGCAGACACAGAGGCGGGCGCGGCTCCGGGTTGTGCGGTGCTGTATGCGTGCGGTGCGCGTACAGCGCGGTTCGGACACGCGCGTTCCGCTCTCGGCGCGGCCCCGGGGCTCCCGCGAAGGCTCCGCCGCGTCCCGTCCGCCCCGTCGAGGCCGCTCCTCAAGGCGCGGGGGGGGGGGGGGCCGGCAACCCGAGGGCGGTCCGGGGGGGGTCCTGGGGAGCAGCGGGCGGAGGGGCCGCGCTCAGCGTGTCCCGCCCCGGCCGCGCCCCCGCTGCCCCCCGCCGCCCTCCCGGGTTCTGCCGCCCGTTTCCCCATGAGCCCCACGAAGAAGTCGTGCATGTCTCCTGCGGAGAGAGCGCCGTCAGCGCACGCCCGGCCCGGCCCGGCCCCCTCCGCGCTGTGCTCTCCGCGGGGCCCCGCCTCGGTTCCGCTGCGGGGCCGGGCGCGGTGCGAGGCGGGCAGCACTTACGCTTCTGAGGAGGCGCGGGCGCCGGGGGACCTGCGGGAGACAGAAACGGGTGCTGAGCGCTGCCGTCGGGGCGCGCACGGGGACCGGGAGGGACCCCCCAACTCCGCCCGGCCCCCCGCACCCCGCCCCACCCCGCCCCGCTCTCACCGTTCTCCTCCTCCCGCAGTAGCTGCAGAAGAGCGGCGACGGCCCCCGAGCTGCCCCGGGATCTCCAGAGCAGCGGCTCCGGGCCGGGACCCCTCTGCGGGAAGCGGAGCGGTGAGCGGAGCCGCGCGGTGCCACCCCCGAGCCCCGACGGTGCGGCCGTACCTGGGAGCGCGGCGCGGAGCCCGGCGGGGCGGAGAGGGCGAGCGGCAGCGCCAGGGCGAGCACGGCCAGCAGCGCGCGGCTCCGCATCGTCCTACGGGGATTGTGGGTCGGGGGGCGTGAGCGTCGGTATCGGACCCGGAGCAGAACTTGGGCGGGGAGCAGCGAGCGGCTTTGGGAACAAATCCCCACCCAGGAGGCACGGGCTGGGGGCTCCCACCCGGCTGCAGGAGGAGCAGGAACCGCAACAGGGGTGGGCGAGGGGGGGGGGGCACGGGGAAAGCCTGGGGGGACCACAGACAGGTTAGCCCTGCACGCTCACACCCCCACGGTGTCACCAATACCCGCACAGCTGCATGCACATTGATGGCCAGCCCGGCGCCCGGAGCCCCCAGCCCTCCCCACATCCCAGTGGCGCCTTCAGTCCTCGCTGCCCCCTTCCCTGAGCCCCCCCCAGGCTGCGTAGGGTGAGGAGCAAAGGTGGTGGTCGCTCCAGAGGCCTCGAGGTACCTGGTGCAGGGATGCGGTGAGGGGTGCAGGGATGCAGTGCAGGCTGCTCAGCGCCGGCTGTGACCTCGCTGGTGGCTGCACCGATGGCTCTCAGCCCGATGGAGATGAAGCCCCACCGCCGCTGCGGAGTTAAATAAGGGGCTCTGCCCGTGGCACGGCGTGGGTGGGCGAAATGAGAGCCGCCAATGGGGGCCGCGGGGGGTGGCACCCCCACCCCACAACTTCACGCCCACGCGGGCGCCGTGACACCGCCAGGCACCGCAGCACGCGGCCCACGCAGGCATGCAGGGGTTGGGGTGGCACGCGGACACCGCTGCACCCCGTGCAGGGGGGGATGCACGCCCGGTGGTGCCACGGCCTCGTGGTGTGTGTGTGCAGCGTGAGCTGCCTGCGTCTCGGCTGTGCCACACCGGTGGTCAGGTCTGCCGTGCAGGAGGGCTGTGGGGGGGTTTGCGGTGCTGTGGGAATCAGCTGAGCTTGTGTGCGTGTACGGGATGCACGCCTGAATGGGATGCACGCATCAGACCTCGTAGACCCCGTGCCTCCTGCCCCGTCCCAGTCCTGTGCAGCCCACAAGAGCGCTCCCAGGTGTGGCCCCATCTGTGGCCATGTCCCCTCCGGCCCCCTGTATGTGACCCCAGGCCCGGAGTGGAGCTCAGCCCCCTCTGAACACACCCATCCCTGCCCCACAGCTGCACAGATTGAGGGTCCGTGGGTGGGGGGAGCCCAGCCCCAGTGCTGCACCGGGATGAGTTGCAGACCCCACAGGATGGCAGCAGGAACGCAGCTGCTCACGTGGCAGCGCCGCCGGGGCAGGGCAGCATCTGCAAAGCCGGGGATGTTAATTAAATCGGAGCCTGGCCAGAGCTGGCCTAATTAATTAATAACACCTACTTGTGTGGTGCCGGGTGCGAGGCAGGCACGAAGCACAGCAGTGCCCCGGGCTTGTTTACGGCGCTGCCCCTCTCCATGTATGGGTGACGGGTCCCCGTGCTGGGAGGGGATGCAGCCCCGGGGGGGCTCGGGGAGGGGGGGGAGCCCGAGGTGTCCCTGCACACACACGTGCCCCCCCCACGTGCACGCTGCCCGCACATGGTGCCCGTGCACGACATGGCCCCACCTGGGAGCTGCTGACGCGACCGGGAGCTGTCAGCTCTGCCAGAGAACGCGGGTGACGTGCAGGGAGGGAAAAATCCCAGTCCTAGAGCCAAAATCCCACTCCCAGAGCCTGACGTGAGCAGGAGAGAAAAGGAGGTGGGAGGGGATGGGGGCTGCGTGGGGACTCCCAGGACCGGTGCTGCAGCAGTGGCAGTGGGGGTCCCTTTGGGTGGCGTGGGGATCTGCACAGAGCTGGGGTCTGCAGAGGGGGGGGTCCTGCAGTGGGGGTGGAGATGGGGGCAGGGAATGGGGGACTGCAGTGCCACCCACCCAGAAATTGCGACTTGGATGCAGGCGCCGCTTTCTCACTTAATGGGAAAAGTGGCTGCAATTTGGGGCCTTTCCAATCACAGCAGAGCCGAGCACTCGCTGCAATCAGGCGGCAGGGAAAGAGCTTGGGGGGCTGGGGGGGCTCTGTGCTGTGCTGCGCTCTGTGCCGCATCCTACTCCCAACCCTGGTATGCAGCAGGGAGGGGGGCACCTCCACATGACAGCCCCCACGTACGGACACCGGAACACGTGTAATGGGACGGCAGCAGTTTAATGGGACGCCGGAACACGTTTCACGGGACGGCAGCAGTTCCCGTGCGGCGCAGGGGGTGCGGTGGACTCCCGGCCCCCCCTCCCGCTCAGTGAACCAGGATCTCCATCTTGTGGCTGCCGCGCTTCTTGCAGACCGGGACGTCGCTGCTGCCTTTGGCCGACTCCACTACGGTGACGGCCACGTCGCCCTTCGGGAACCGCGTGGAGAACCTGGGGGAGATGGGCGGCGGGCTGGGGGCTCGCCTGGCCACGCCCCTCCCGCTGCCCAACGAGCTGCTTCCAATCCGGCCCCGCCCCCTGCCGCACCTCATCCTGCCCAATGAGCAGCCCGATTCCACCCCGCTCTTCCCGACACACCCCGAGCTGAGACCACGCCCCCCTCCCGACCACGCCCCTTCCGGAAACGCCCACGTAGGCCACGCCCCCGGCCCCGCATACTGGTCGGCGATGCTCAGCGGTAGCGCCTGCGCGGTGGCGTCCATCAGGGTCTGATGCAGGCGGGTGACGAGCTCGATGAGGTGGGGGCTCACCAGCAGGAGGTCACCTTTGCCGCCAGCAGCGGACGTCTGTAGGGCGGGGCGGTGTTTTGGAGGGGTCAGCGCCGCCCAGCCCCCGCTGCCCTCCCACACCCCCTCCGTGTGGCACCGAACCTCCTTGAGGTGCAGCGCCAGCAGCCCGTCGGAGAAGCGGCTGACGGAGGCTCCGCGGATGTCGCTGAGGCTGAGCACCAGTTTGGGCTGTGCTGCTTTGGGGTCGGCCAGCACCAGGTGCTCAGTGGTGAGCAGCAGCAGCCGCGGCACCGTCTGTGGGTTGGGGGGCAGTGAGAGCAGCCCTGCGCCCCCCCCACACCCCCCCACGGGACGGGGCTCACCTTCCCGTTGGCTCTGTTCACCTTCTGCACCGCCTCGGCCATCACCAGCTTGTCCTTGGCCACCGCCTGCAGCTTTTGGTACTTGCGGTTCTGCGTCAGGCCCAGGTACTCACCACGGAAGGGCTGCTGCAGGCTGTGGATTGAAGGCGGGGGATCAGCCGAGACCCCCAGGCTTCCCCCCCGGCCACCGCGTGTGAGCGCACCTGTGTGCATACAGCGCCTTCTTGTCCTTGAACAGCTCGCTGGCGCACAGCTTGGCCTGCAGCACGGCGCGCTGCTGCGGGGAGAGCTGCTCCCGGTACTTCTTACACTGCAGAGATGGGGCAGCGTGGGGGGGCCGGGTGATGCAGTGCCGCCAAACCCCCGCTGCCACGGGGACCCGTAGATCCCCCCCCCCCCACCTTCCAGCGGTAGAAGATGCCCTTCAGCTCCTGGTTGGCGTCGGACAGGAACTTATAGGGTGCGGGAGGCCAGGTCTGATCCAGCACCGCCATCGGGGGGAGGTTATTCCTCAGCCCTATGAGGTATTTCTGCACCTGGGCGGGGGGCACAAAGGGTGGGCGGGGTCCCTGGGCACAGCCCCAGGGAGGCGGGGAGGCGCTGATCCCATCGCTGCTCACCATCCGCCGGTAGATGAAGTTGGACAGACGCGTGCGGGCGTCGGAGCGGAAATAGCGGCGGTACGTCCTGCGGGTCTGGGGACAGCGGGAGTCAGCGGGATGTGGGACCCCGTGGGGTGGGACCCCCGCCCTCAGTGTTCCCCATTGGATGTGTCTCCCACCCCCCTCCCCATACAGCCCTGCCCTGACAGGGTGGGCAGAGCCGGGGCGGACAGACAGACAGCCCCGGACGCAGCAGGACAGCAGAGCAGAGGAGCTCAGGGGTGCACAGCCCCGCAGCGGGGCACCCCATTACCTGATACCCTTTCCAGTAAGCAGAAATGGTGCTGGCGGCCAAATGGCGGCGGCGCTGAACCTTCAGCTCCCGAAGGAGCCGGCGGGACTGCAGAGGGACAGCCAGAACCCAAAGAGCCCAAAGGAGGAGGGGGAAACACCAACACGCATAGCGAGCGAGAGGGAGAGAAAGGGAGAAAGGCAGGAGAGATGGAGGGAGATGGGGTGAGACGGTCCTGGGGGGAGCAGGACCCCCCCCGGCACTGCATCACTGCCCCGGAGCGTGGCCCCGAACGCCCGCGTGGCGCACAGCGCTCACCTTCCAGCCCCGCGCGTACGCCTGCAGCAGCAGCACCGAGCGCTTCATCTGCTTGTACCAGTTCCTTTGCTGCAGGGGGAGCAGGGGGGGTCACACCCTTGGACCCCCCACACTCCTGGGCCAGGGGGTGAATGGGGAAGGGTGCAGCACAGCCAGGACCCCCCTCCTCACCACGTGGCCGCGGAACCATGCGGAGATGAGGATTTGGCTCTTGCGCATCTGCTGGTACTGCTTCTTGCAGCGCCAACCGCGGAACGTCGCCTGGATGAGGGTGGCCAACTCGGCCACGCGCTGCTGGCGCCGCTTCTCCAGGTCAAAGAGCTGCAGGTGGAGCAGAGCTGAGGGCTGTGGTATCACCCAGAGACCCCCGAGGGGATGGGAGGCTCAGAGAGGGACTGGGGGGGCTCAGAGCAGGAATCACCCCATGCCCCCCCCCCACAGCCAGAACCCCCAACCCCACACTCACAGTTTGCGGTGAGCGGATGAAGATTTTGGTGTGGCCATATGCCAGCTCCTCGGGGGGGGAACTGCAGCTCCGCCAGCAGCACCTCAGTGCCCTCCCTGCAGCACGCAGGGATGCTCGGACCCTGCACCCCACAGCAGTGGGGCTGCGGGATGTGCAACTGCCCAGGCCCTCCTTTCCCCCCCTGACCTGTCATTGCCCATCCAGTGGGGCCAGGTCCTGCTGCTCAGCATCTTGTAGCGCTTCAGGAAGGGCTGGTAGAGCTGGCGGAAGGCGTAGCCGGCACGCCGTACCCGCACGTTCTCCATCAGCCCCAGGTAGCGCACCTGGGCCAGTACCAGATCCGGAGTGAAGAGCATTGCCGTCTTGGTGTCGTTGGGCTTGATGCACCTGGGGAGGGGTGGGGGGCAGCGGTGGGCACGGGGGGTCCCACTGTGCACCCACACGCGTGGTCCCGCCTGGCGCTACCTGATGTAGTTGGGGTTCTTGGTGTAGAGGTTCTTCATCAGCGTCGCCACGGATGCCCTGAACTGGGAGCCGGTGGTGGGGGGCAGTTTGAGGGAGGGTCTCTGGGGGTCGCCCTCGGGGAAGAGGGAGCGCAGCAGAGTATGCTGGGCGGCCCACATGGCCTGGGACAGGTCACGGAACAGCAGGTCGTTGTTCTTCTCGATGAAGCCTGTCACGTTGTAGGTCACCTGGGGATGGGAGCAGGGCCAGAGCCACAGAAAGGCTGGGATGAGGACCGGGTCAGGGGAGTGGGAGCAGGGCCAGCGTGTGCCCCAGCCTCATGGAAAGGATGGGGTGGGGATGGGTGCCCTGCTTTTCCCCAGGGACGGGGCTGAGGGGGCCCTGCACCTTCCCAGCATAGTGGTGGATGCGGAAGCAGCGCAGCGGCAGGCTGATGTCGGTGACGTGTTTGGCGTTCAGAGTCTCTTTGCTCTCGTAGTGTTTGTGGGAGGCGAAGATCTGGTTCAGCTTGGTGATGAAGGTGTCCTCGTTCACGGTGCCGGGCCGCAGGCACTCCTCGTCCAGCATGGCCAGGATCCCCACCTTGCTCTGTGCCACGGGGGGACAGCGTCACCCCCAGCCCACCCCAAAGCTGCCCCAAAATGCCCGAGCGCAGAGCATCGGCCCCCCGAGCCACCTCAGGACCTGAGAGCCCCACACTGTGGGCAGGAACTCACGTTCTCAATGAGGTCGCAGATGATGCTGTTGTCAAAAAACTCCACTGGGGTCCACTGGATGCCCTGGGAGCAGAGGGGTGTCAAGCACAAACCCTGCCCCATGGGCACCCCCTGTCGTTGCGGGGCAGGAAGCGGACGTCCGGCCGCCGAGACGGGATCCCGAATCCCTCCCCGCCTTCCTGCCATTGAGTTGCTCTCCCGGTTGGGGGCGGTGAGGAAGGGATGTGCTGTGGGGCCGTCTGAGGCGCTTCCCCATCCCACTGAGGCTCCCCGGAGCCACATCCCTTTGGGGTCGGCGTTACCTCCCGGACGTATTCCTCCTGCTCCTCCTTCAGCGTCATCAAGATGAAGATCTGCTGCAGCTTCTCATTGCAGTAGTTGATGATGAACTGCTCGAAGCCGTTGTCCTATGAGATAAGCGACCCGAACGGCAGATCTGTGCTGGAGACCCCACCCCACATCCCTCCTGCAGACCCCCGCCCCACAGCCCTCCTGCTGTCCTCACCTGGAAGATCTCGAAGCCGTAGATATCCAGGACTCCCATCACCTTCCTCTGCTTGCCTGGCTTCACCTGGGGCACAGAGAGACTGAGCTTCCTCCCTGCTGGGGGGTGGGGGTCAGCACACGGCTGTGGGGTGACCGGGGGGCTCACCCTGATGCTGGCGTTGATGCGGTCCACCAGCCAGTCGAACAGGCGGCTGTAGATGTTCTTGGCCAACGCATCACGGCAGTAGTAGCCCTGGGGAGAGGGGAGGGGGGCTCACGGGGGTCCCAGGGTGCGAGCCCAAGGGGAGGGGGAGGGGGGCACCCTGCTCACCTGGGAGACGCTGAGCGCAGTCAGCACGCTCTCATCCCGCACCTTCACAGTGCGTGAGCACAGCGCCTGCTCCAGAGTGCTGGGGTCCAGCCCGACCAGCTGGCTGATCTCCTGCAGCTCTGTGCGGGACAAAGCGCTGCTGGGGCTGCTGTGTGGGGATCGGGGGGGGGCCCATCTGATCCCCCCCGCCCCACCATACCCTGTGGCTCGGCGATGCTGGACGCCTCCATCCCGCTGGCCTGGAAGCAGCTGCTCAGCTCCACGTTGCCCAGTTTGAGCACCACGGCCGTCACCTCCAGCAGCGCCGTCACCTCGGCGGGTGTGAAGCCGATGATCGCCATGGCATCCTGGGGGGGAAGGGAAGGGTTGGGGGCAGCCATGGGGTGCTTGGGGAGTGGGGGGGGGGGTCGTGCCCCCATACCTGCATGGCACGGAAGTTGGCAGCATCGTCCATGCCGGGCAGCACTGACTTCTCACGGTTCAGGTAACCGTAGTGGCTGCAGTCCGGGCGCAGCTTCAGCTTCTCTGGGGTGGGGGTGAGGGGTTGAATCTCAGCCATAGTCCCCAACACCAGGCATCTCCTGCCCAGCCCCCCCAGCTCCATGTTGGGACCTACGGAGCAGCTGCGCTGAGCCCCCCGCCAGCAGCTGGTAGAAGATGTGGAAATTCCTCTCGCCCTTCACGTGGCGGACGATGCGGGATTTCTCCAGCAGATCTGTCAGGGTTTGCGGGGGGGGGAATGAGAGTCACTGCAGCGCAGGTGGGGCTGAGACCCCGGGGGGAGGAGGGGAGCAGCACTGACAGTTACTGATGACCCCTCCCAGAGGATCTCCCTTGAAGTCAAACTCCACATCCATGTATTTGCCCTGAAGGACGGGGATGGGGTCAGGGTGAGTGGGCCCCAGGGGGACCCCTCCCCACGCCCCCTCCCCTCTCACTCACAAATCGGGAGGAATTGTCATTGCGGATGGTTTTGGCATTCCCAAAGGCTGTGGAGGAGGACGATGGGGTTATGCAGCACCAGGTGGTGCAGTTTTGGGGGGGTGATGAGTCCTGGGGTGTGTGGGGCACTCACCCTCCAGCACAGGGTTGGACTGCAGCAGCTGCTCCTTCACTTTGTCCACCTCCTCCCCTTTGCTGCTCACGGCCGCCACGTAGGACATCACCAGCTTGCTGGCCTCTGCAATGGGGGTGTCAGCCTTGGGACCTGGGACCCCCCATCCTGCAGCCCTGCAGCTCCCAGCCCACCCTACCTGTCTTGCCAGCTCCACTTTCACCAGTGATGAGGATGCATTGGTCCTGATCCCGGTCCCGCAGCGAGCAATACGCATCATCAGCAATGGCGTAGCTGTGGGTAAGTGGGACTCGGCAAGGGGCTTGGGGGCACTGGGGGGGACTCAGGAGCCTTGGCAGGACAGAGGGTTAACAGTATCTCCGTGCTCACATGTGGGGTTTCACGGCAAAGAAGTTGCAGTTGTGGTACTCCTCCACCTTCTCGGGGGTGTAGATGGGCAATGGTTTGTAGGGGTTCACTGAGATCACCACCTCCCCAATGTACGTCTGCAGGTGAGCGGCAGCGTGAGTGCAGGGCCAGGACACAGCAATCTGCTCCCAGCCCATCCCAGACCCCATATCCATCCCTGATCCCCATCCCAGACCCCATATCCATCCCGGATCCCCATCCCAGACCCCACACTCCCCCCCCCTCCCCCCCCCCCGTCTCCACTCCCCTCCCCATCCCCGCATCCCGGTGCCCACGTAGATCTCCTCGCGGCTGAAGCGCTCCTGCAGGGTGCGGAGCAGGGCTTCCTCGCTGAGCGGGTCCAGCATCACCAGATCCCCGACGGCCGCAGCGTCCAGCAGAGAGGCGGTGGCTTCCATGGCTGGGGGCTGCGCGGTGCCTGGGGCAGAGCGGTGGGGCTGCCCTGGGTACCCCGCTCCTCTTCGAGGCTTCAGGGCAGCTCCGGGAGAAGCGCAGAGCCGGCAGGAAGCGGGGACACCTGGGCCCTATTCTTGGGGCTGGGATTAATTCAGCCTCCGCTTCCTCCCTCCTTCCGGGCCGGGGGGAGCTGAGCTCGGGGCTGGGGGGGACACCTAAGGGGTCGCGGCTCCGCCCAACTCCCGCCCTCACCTGGTGCGCTCCCCGCGACCTTCAGACCCGCTTCACCTGTAAACCCAGCCCTGCCGTCAGGGTCGGGGAAAGTTCACGGGAGGGGGGTGGCGAAGAGGCTGGGGGGGGGGGGGGGGTGGCAGCAGCCGTCGAGCAGAACGGGGCCGACCGGGACCCCGCAGGGGCTGCGGCGTCCTCCGAGCCGGGAGCGGCACAGAGAGCCCCGACGTCGAAGGGGGGGGTTGGAGCCAGAGCCCCCCGCAGCACCGGGGCAGCGCCGAGACTTCCCGCAGGGCCGGGGCTCGGGGTCCCGTTGTGCCGCCTCCCGGTCCCCCTCCCCCCTGGGGCGCGGTGCCCCCGCCGGGAGCGATGGGTCGGCTCTCACCTGCGGCTTGCAGGACGCCAGTTGCGGGAGTGGCCGAACCGGGGCTGCCTCCCGGACAGGACCCGCACTGGGGTCGGCCCCGTCCGGCCCACGAAGGGGCGGGGGCCCAGGGCCCTCCCTCGGGGCAGGGAAACTGAGGCACGCAGCAGCGGCAGCCGCCCCGAGCCGACGCTCCCAGACCCGCGCGGGGTCCCGCAGCGCCGCCGCCTCCCCGCAGCAGGAACAAGCAGAGAAACGCGATTGTGGCCGAGCAAACAAAAGGAGCTTCCTCCCGGGGCTCCGGGAAACCGGGGCAAGGTACAGAGCCGGCAGCAGCCGGGCCACTCCCGGGAAGACGCCTGAGCCTGGGCTGCCCGCAAAGGACCCTGCAGTGGGCAGAGGGGAGCAGAACGAATGGGCGCATGAGACTCGCAGTCATGAAAATACACCTTTATTAAAAAATACAATCATCGGTCTGCGTTAGCCACATGAAACGAACACGGGGGAGGAGATGTAGCTATAAGGGTTGCTTGTACCAAAGCAGGGGGGCAGGGAAGAAAACCTGGGCCAGAAACAAACAGCAAAGCCAGGGGCAGCAGCACAAGCGAGGGGCGTTCAGGCAGCAGCAGGAGGGCAGGTTTACTGCCAAGCCTTGCATAGATGGGGGCATTTCCTCTACGCTTGCGCTTTGTCAAAGTTTGACTGCCCCGACTGCCAGCAGCAAAGCTCCCACCCTGCACTGTGGGAACGGCCCCCGAGGGCTGAAAGCAGAGAGCAGCAGCAGCTCCCCCACGCTGGGAGCAGGACCCGTATCACAAGTGTTCCTTGAGCTCTGCAATGAGCCAGAGGAGCCCTCAGAGCTGCATCTCTGCCCCGGAAGCACGGGGTTTTTGGTATTAAAACTGGGCAGAGTCACAGCTGGAGCCCTGTGGCACCTTTGGTGAGCAGCAGCACGAGGAGGAGCAGCCCGGCAGCAAGCAGGTGCTGAGCACGCAGGTACTGTCAGGAGAGGTCCAAAGTTCCCCTCAGGAACGTGCCATGCCCGTGGGGACACGCACACGAGACAGACCTTTTGCTCCATTCACACCCTGAAAGGCAGAGATGCCCTTGGCAGAGAGGGTGTGGGCACCCAGAGCAGAGCAGTGCAGTGCAGAGCAGAGCAAAGGGGCTCCTTCTGCCCCCTGTGGCAGCAGCACTGGGCACAGGGCTCAGCATGCGCACCACAAGCAGATGCACCAAGAACCAGGATGGCTCCAGTCCACCTCCAGTCAGGACCAGCGTGCCCCACCAGCAGCACAGACCTCAGTGTCCCCACCGTCAGCTCCCTGCACCCTTCTGCCAACGAGAGCTGCGCTGATAAAAGCTTTTGTGCCTCAGCTGGGTAGGAGTTACCCTGGGAAAAGTTACCCTTCATCCTCCTAGCAGCTCCGCAGCAGAGCCAGGCTCGCAGCAGCCCAGCTTGGGGTGGAATCGGAGATGCTGGGCACAGCGACACCAGCTCAGCCCCGAGCTGAGGGTTTTGGGCACTGCAGGTGTCAGGGAAGTGAGGAGCCACAGCGGTTTTGCTGCTCTCCCTTGGGGCTGTGGGGCAGCTGACCTCAATCAGCAGTCAGGTGGGCTGTGGGACCACAAGCAGCCCATGCTGTCTCTCCATGGAGAAAATCTTCCTCCTCGTCCTCCTCAAAGAGCTGCTCCTCGAGGAACACCCCGCCCAGGCCGAACTCCTGCTCGTGGAAGGAAACCTCGCTGGCAGTGAGGTGGGAGGCACCGCCCACAAACTCAGCAAACCTGGGAAGAAGCAGCAAAGAAAGTCACTGTGTGCTTGCATCTGAGTGCCCTGGCACGAGGGAGCGGCTTTGAGTGCTCATGGTGCACGCTCAGCCGCGGGCAGAGCTGCATCCAGCACAGAGGCTGGGCCAGGGCTGCGGTTATCACAGAATCACAGCATTGTAGGGGTTGGAAGGGAGCTCCAGAGCTCATAGAGTCCAACCCCCTGCCAAAGCAGGTTCCCTACAGCAGGTCGCACAGGTCGGCATCCAGGCAGGACCTGAACATCTCCAGAGCAGGAGACTCCACCACCTCCCTGGGCAGCCTGTTCCAGTGCTCCTCACCTCACTGTAAAGAAGTTCCTTTGCACATTGGTGCAGAACTTCCTATGCTGCAGTTTCCAGCCGTTTCCCCTTGTCCTGTCTCCACTCCCCACTGAAAAGAGTCTGGCCTCACCATTCTGCCCCCCACACCTCAGATATTTATAGACCTGGATCAGGTCCCCTCTCAGCCTTCTTTTCTCCAGGCTGAACAGACCCAGTTCACTCAGCCTTTCTCCATAGCAGAGATGCTCCAGGCCCCTCACCATCTTGGTGCCCCTCCGCTGGACTCTTCCCAAGAGCTCCCTGTCTGTTTTGTGCTGGGGAGCCCAGAACTGGACGCAGAGCTCCAGATGAAGCCTCAGCAGGGCAGAGCAGAGGGGGAGGATCACCTCCCTCCACCTGCTGGCCACGCTCTTTTTAATGCAGCCCAGGATGCCATTGGCCCTCTTGGCCACAAGGGCACACTGCTGGCTCATGGCCAACCTGTTGTAAACCAGGACACCCAGGTCCCTCTCCGCAGAGCTCCTCTCCAGCAGCTCATCCCCAACCTGTACTGGTGCATGGAATTATTCCTCCCCAGATGCAAGACTCTACACTTGCTTTTGTTAAACCTCATCCGTTTTTTTTTGCCCAGCTCTCCAGCCTGTCCAGCTCTCGCTGAATGGCAGCACGGCCTTCAGGCGTGTCAGCCAATCCTCCCAACTTTGTATCATCAGCAATTATGATTTTTTATGATAACAGCATTATCTGTCCTTGCTTTGCTGCACACCCTGCTTCCACGCTGCAGGGATCTCCAGTGCCTCGGGCTCCCTTTCTCTGAAGCCACAGGTGGCAGCACGGAGCAACTGCGAGCTTCCAGGTGAGGTTGGCCACCTGGCTGCCAGGGGATGTTACCTTTTGGGAGACTGGATGCGGGACACTGCAGTCCAGGCAGAGAAATCTGGGCTTCTGCAGTAGTTTCGAAGCTCCTCGAGGGCCTTCCGTGTCTCCACCTCCCCCTGAATGCGATATTCCTCTTCGGTCAGCAGGCGAGGGGGGCTGGGCCCCAGCCAGGCGCTCTGTGCCCTCCTACCAGCAGAACAGCACCAGTTATTGGCCAGGCTGGGCCCCAGGAGCAGCGCACAGCGCATCCCTCTGGGCTCTGCATCTTGCTCCTGAGAGGCCCCAGCGGTGAGCAGCTCGATGCTGCATCACACCAAGCTGGGGAGGAGGGGCACAACCGCCCCTGTGCTCCCACCCCAGAGAAACACCCTGGTTCTGCAGTGCAGGGTCTGTGCAGCTCACCCGGACCGGGGAACCGAGAGTCAGCAGCGCTCACTCACTTGTAGACACCATAGATCCACTGCAGGGGGAAATCCACGTTCTTGGTGCAGACAGCAATGAGCACAAAGGCCACGGCGACGGGGCGGATCTGGATGCCCAGATACATCAGCGCCAGGCCCAGGAGCTGCAGGGCCCAGGACAGCAGGGTGATGCTGCGCTCGTTCTCCAGCGGGCCGTACCTGTAGCACACTCCGAAGCTCACGAAGCCCATGAGCAGCAGGTAACCTGCAGGAGAGCAGAGGAGTCAGGTGCAGGGGCTCCCTTGGCGCTGCCTCAACCTGGAGACGCTGAGCAGCGCCTGCCGGGGCTGCAGCCAAACCCGGTGCTGCAGTTTGCTCCTCTCGGCAGCTCAGAAACAGCGTCGGCTGCAAGGAGGCCACAGGAGGCACCAATATTTCCCACCAACATGCTGAAGCTCCAGAAGGAGCCGCGTGGCGTGGTGAGCTGGCGGGTCTGAGAGCCCACACCTACCCAGCAGGTACTGCCAGTAGGACCTGCATATCTCCCGCAGGTTCTTGAAGACCAGCTGAAGCAGGTACAGGGAAAAGGACCAGCCTCCGAGCAGCAGGAAGTAAACAGGACTTTTCTAGGAGAGGAAACACGAGAATCAAGAGAGGCTGTTGGCAGAAGACACTGACGGCTGCATCCCTTCAACTGCCGCATCCTGCTCTGCGCGAGACCAGATCCACGACGAAACAGAACAAGGCCACAAAAGCACACAGTTTGCTCACCCTGGGCATGGCCTTGGACATCACGTAGATGAGGATGAGCAGCGAGGCCAGCAAGCCAATGCTTATCCCAGCTGAGTAGAAGAAGAGCTGGCTCCTGCAGAGATCACACACGCACACAAGGTGTTTCACAGCTTGTGAGATGATGTCTGCGTACAAACATTCCTGCTGGCAGTAAACCCTGCGAGCATGCAGGCTGAGCATCCCAGCGCCCGGTGCCAACAGAAAGGCACCTCACATTCCCAAAATTTCACAGGGAAATTGCACAGAGGCCCATAGAGCGAGGCCTGGTAAGCCCTGCAGGCTCAGAGAAGCAGACAGAAATACTCTGCCTTCCCGCAGCACGCACACGAAGGAGCCACTCTGCAAATCCAGCTCACGGGGGACAGGAGGCAACTCACCTGCTCAGCATGTCCCCACAGAAGAACAACAACAGGCCCAGGAAGAAAACCAGGAACAGTTTAGGGTCAAACCCTGGAAGAAGAACAAGCCCAGCTTAGGAGAAATCCCAGCAGGGTGAGCTGAGTGCAAGCTCCACTCTGACGCACTGACAGCAAGCAAGGAGAGGCAGCGCCTATGGCAAAGCTCTGACAAGTGCCCTGTGTCCCTCCCATTCTGTATCCAAGTATTCCTCCTCTGCAAGCCCATTTTTCTTTACTGTATGCAGCAGCACAAGCTTGCAGCAGCACAAGCTTGCAGCCCCTTATGGGAGGACCCACTGCCCACAGACCAGACGTACAGCGGGACAGCACGATGCAGTATTTGGTGTCAGCCTCCAGCAGCTCAACCTTCAGGCAGGTTTTGTTGCTGTAGAGATCCACATCGATGTTGGTGCTGTTCAGCTTCTCCTTCAGCAGGGAGGAGAGAAAATTCCACACCTTGGACTCCTCCAACTCCCTCAGCTCCTCCTCACTGCCCACCTGGGTGACACGGATCACGTGGTT